TAAGACCAAGTTTTATTCAGGTACAAGCTCTCCCTCCTCTGCGAGGACAGATCTGCATGCCCCCCACCCCAATAGCTAGCAATCCAAAACAGTCCACTGGAGCCTGAGTGGTGGGTGTTGCCTTCTGACACACTTCCGGTGATGTCAGGGGGTGTGGCATATGCAAATAAGTTATGCTAATGAGCTCCTGCATCTCTTTTTCTACGAAATGACCCCTGCCACATGCACATTTGAAAATGCGCATGGTCCCCCATAACAGACATTGTGGGCAGTAGTTCAGCTCAGCCCTGGATTAACCACTAAGCGAAATACGCATGTGCTGCGGGCACTAAGGGAGGGGGGGCACCACAGAGAGTTTCTTTTGCTTCTGCTGCTTACCGCTATTTAGTATTGTATAAATAAATGTTTTTAAAAGTTTATATTTAAAATAGTGCGGGGTGGCCTGGAAGATAACTGAATGTTTAATCTCCTATTTCACCGTCAGCACTTATTGACTCCCTCTGTCTTGTCAGTGAAGCAACGGGAGGGCCGAGAGGCACCATGGTTGGGCTGAGCTTAAGGCCTCAGTTGGCCTTTATCCGGCCCTGGTTCCGCTCATTGAAGGCTGCCGCTCGCCTGTCTGTTGACGGGTAAAGTGGCCGTTTACAATCGAGTCTTCCTTTCGCAGCAGATGCAGTACAAGTCTGTGTTTCTTGCTGAAGATGAATTGTAGCTTGAGATCTTTCTTGCAGTTTATTTTCATCTCTAATTAGAATGTCCTTGAAGTGAATGAGACTATCAGACCCTTGACCCAGAAGTCTGAATTTAAGGAGCCAGTTTGGTGTAGTGGTTAAGTGCGGGGACTCTAATCTGGGAGAACTGGGTTTGATTCCCCACTCCTCCACTTGCAGCTGCTGGTATGACCTTGGGTCAGTCACAAGTTCTTTCAGAGCTGTTCTTGAAAAAGAGCAGTTTCTGTCAGAACTCTCTCAGCCCTCACAGGGTGTCTGTTGTGGGGAGGGGAAGGGAAAGGAGTTTGTAAGCTCCTCTGCGACTCCTTTCGGTAGTGAAGGGCGGGGTATAAATCCAATCCTTCTCATCTTCTTCTTCTTAAGCCCTGGGGACTCTTAGGGTGACAGAGACAGTTGTGGTTATGTATTACTTTGTTTCCCCAAATTTGGCTAAATGCACCTTGAAGCTCTTAGGGTAGCTTTTAACATCCAAACTGCTTATACATGAAGCCTAGAAGTTCTCTTTGGGGAGGGGCTGTGGCTCACTGGCAGAGCCTCTGCTTGGCGTGCAGAAGGTCCCAGGTTCAATCCCCAGCATCTCCAGTTAAAAGAATCAGGTAGGAGGTGATGTGAAAGACCGCTGCACGAGACCCTGGAGAGTGGCTCTCCGTCTGAGTAGACAACACTGACTTTGATGGACTGAGGGTCTGATTCAGTAGAAGGCATCTTCATGTGTTCATATTTTAGCATAAATAAGAAGGACAGAGAGGGCAGCCTGTCTTATTGCCCGCCGTTGCTCAAGGAAATGGGGAGAGGAGGAAAGCACACTGGCGTCACAGTGGCATGCTTACATCACTTCCAGTGAAAACCAGACGTTCTACGCAGGGGTCATTTCGTAGAAAAAGTGGTGCAGGAGCTCATTCGCATAACTCATTAGCATGACTTATTTGCATATGCCACACCCCCTGACATCACCGGAAGTGTGTCAGAAGGCAACACCCACCGCTCAGGCTCCACTGGACTGTTTTGGATTGCTAGCTATTTGGGGGGTGGGGACATGCAGATCTGTCCTCGCAGAAGAGGGAGAGCTTGTACATGAATAAAACCTGGTCTTCAAGGTGTCACTGGACTGTTTTGGACCAGGGGGCTGGGGGGAGCTCTGCAACTTACCTGGCTGCTTCTTGCTCTGTCTGAGGGCTGCTTGGAGCAGGGGGCGGGGCTTGTTGCATGTGCTCGCCTCCTGGGCTCTTTACTGCCGGAGCTCCGCTCCTGTGCGCTCCTGCAGGAAATGACCCCTGGTTCTACGGCAGACGCTGTAGCATTTTGCAAAAAGTTTATGATGAAACCACAAAGTTCCATTGGAATGCTAGAGCGTCTTGCTATGGCGCTTTCAGTTTTCACCAGACGTTATGTGAACTCAGCGGCACTCCAGGCCCTGCTCTGCTGTGGCCTGGGAACTCTACAAAAGGGTCTGCTTTGACCCTCCAGAACAGGTTACTCATATAAGCTTCTTCTGTCCCCCTTGATCACTGTCTTCCACCAGGACGTGAAGACTCATCTGTTTCATTTGGCATTCCTTCACTTCCTGTTTATGTGTAGGGATGTGCAAGGGAAAAAATTGTGTTTTGGGGATTTGGGGGGTGTTGGACTCTTAAAGATTTGGTATTGCCTTGAAAACCTGAATTCAGTATTGGTATTGTGTCGGAATTTCGGTAAAATTTGGGAATCGGCACTAGTAAGTTGGCACTGGGTTCTGCTGCTGGGCACCAGTAGGTTGGCATTGGGCTCTGGTGCTGGGCACTGGTACATTGCACTGGTTCTGTTGTCCTTACAGAAATGCCCTCCCCTTTAATTCAGAGATTCCAAGATTCACAGATCTGACCTTAGTCCTGTTCGGTTTTGGCACGGCCACAGCAGCACTGGTTCTGCTGGGCCCATTGCAGTGGTTCTGCTGCTGGCCTTGCAAACAGGTCCCCTCCCCACACCTCACTTTCTACTACAGAGACTCTCTGGGAGAATCTGCTAGGCTTGTTGTATGCCTGCCTTGCTTTTTTCCCACCATTGGAAACAATGGGGGATAGGGGCACCCTCTTTGGATGCCCATAGAATTGGACCCCCTGGTCAAATCTTGTTGAAACTTATTTTGGGGGGAGACTCCAGAAGCTACACTGCAAATTTGGTGCCTCTACCTCAAACCCCCTCCCCCACCCCCCTGAATATAACCTAGGGCTATAATGGTCCCATAGGGTATAATGGAACCAAAAAATTCAGGATTCCTCAATTAATTCAGGATTTTCTTATCAGTAAGTCGAATCAGATCAGAGAATCTGATTTGCCTTAACTAATGCCTGAATCATGCCGAAAAGTCATGATTCAGGTATTAATTCAGCTCAGAAATACCAAATGCATATCTCTATTTATGTGTTTCAATTGTTTGTGTGTTTTGTTTATTATTTCAATTGGTTTTAAAATATGTATTTTTAAAAGCTGTTTAAATGGCTTGATTGTCTCCTTGGGGACCCTAAATTGGGTGGAAAGCAGCATAAAAATGTTCTACATAAGTAAATAATAATATAATACCCTTCAAAAATTCAAGTATCTGTCAGTGCTGTATCTACCTGTGGGAACATCACCCCAGTACTCCTCTGAATAGCCTGTCAATGAAACCTTTGGATTTGTGACAAAATATCTAAAGTACCTGAGGCCCACTTCTTTGGGGAAAACATAAAGGTTTTAATAAATGGACATAAGTCTGACATTAGAAACCACAACTTTCAAAAACCAGTGGGGGGGCATTTTAACCTTATAGAACATTCAGTTGCTGACTTAAGAGTAACAGTTCTCCTACAAAGGAATTTCAAAAGAAGATTAGAAAGAGATACAGCAACTGAGCATGAAGCTCAAGACAATGTATCCCCCTGGACTGAATCGAGACCTAGGTTTCCCATCTCATTACCAATGCTGCTGTCTCCATGCCTACTATCCTTTTGTGGATCAAAAACTGGCTAATAAATAGAAAACAGAGAGTGAGTATAGATGGGCAATTTTCTCAGTGGAGGGTGGTAAGCCGTGGGGTACCGCAGGGGTCAGTACTTGGCCCAATGCTTTTTAACTTGTTCATTAATGATTTGGAGTTGGGAGTAAGCAGTGAAGTAGCTAAATTTGTGGATGATACAAAGTTGTTCAGGGTGGTGAAAACCAGTGAGGATTGTGAGGCACTCCAAGGGGATCTGTCAAGGATGGGCAAGTGGGCGTCAACATGGCAAATGGGGTTCAATGTGGCCAAGTGCAAGGTGATGCGAATTGGAGCCAAAAATCCTAAATATAAATAGACATTGATGGGGTCTGAACTGACAGAGACTGAACAAGAGAGAGATCTTGGAGTTGTAGTAGATAACTCACTGAAAATGTCGAGTCAGTGTGTGACTGCAATAAAGAAGGCCAATGCTATGCTGGGGATTATTAGGAAGGGTATTGAAAACAGATCAGCCAATATCATAATGCCCCTATATAAATCAATGGTGCGACCTCATTTGGAATACTGTGTGCAGTTCTGGTCACCACACCTTAAAAAGGATATTATAGCTTTGGGAAAAGTGCAGAAAACCACAACTCGAATGATAAAAGGGTTGGAACACTTTCCCTATGAGGAAAGGTTAAAGCCAAGGGATGCTCTGTCTTCTTGGTGCTTGGGGGGGGGGGTTCAACAGTGGGAGGGCTTCTAATATCCTGGCCCCACTGCTGGACCTCCTGATGGCCCCTGGTATTTCTGACCACTGTGTGACACAGAGTGTTGGACTGGATGGGCCTTTGGCCTGATCCAACATTGGCGTCTCTGATGTTCTTATGTACCCCTCTGCATATCACACCAAATTCAGTCACTCCTGCTATCGTCATTCACCTGCTATTGTCATTCGGCATCTGAAACCACTCCACTCTCCAAGATGTTGTATATTGAACGCACTTAGTGCCCTATGTGAGCCGCTCTGAGCCCGTTCACGGGGAGGGCGGGGTATAAATGCAATAAAATAAATTAAAATAATATAAATAAATATAAGGACAGTGAGCAGTGACTCACAAAAGCACCTACCCTTCTACAAATTTGGTTTGTCTTTAAGGCGCTGCTGGACTCCTGCTCTTTTCTAAAGGTTTTATTGGGGCGTGTGTTGGGCGGGACCTAATCTGCACCAGTTTTGTGATTTCCCCAGTGGGTGCCTGAGAATCCCACTTGCTATGCAAGCCCTCCTGCTGAGCTTCTGCTTCTTCTTTCCCCGTGTTTTGTTCTTGCAGCGAAGCCAGCATCAAAGACACCCTTTCTGACTCGGATTCCGACATGGGCAGCACAGAACAACTGGACCAGGGAAGCACGGACACTCTCGCCAACGGCTGCAAGGCAGACAGCGAGGCTGCCAAGAGGTTGGCCAAAAGGCTCTATCACCTTGAAGGGTTCAAGCACTGTGACGTGGCGCGCCAGCTTGGGAAGAAGTAAGCAATAGCCTGGGAATAACAGGATGGGGTAAAACGATTGCCTGGATGGAACGCCTGCACAGGGCAGGGCAGGGCTTTTCACCGACATTCCCACTCCGGTGGAACTCACCTGTCTTTCCAGTTATTTGCCACACCCCCTTTGCAATAAGATGCAAAACTGTTTGCAAGAGGGCAGAGAGGATTTGCCCCCGATGTTGAGGTAGGCGGCCAATGTTCCCTTATGCTGGCCCGCAGGGGACAGAAAGTGTGTGAGCCATGCAATCATATGTGCGCTCAGGGGTCATTTCCTGCAGGAGCATACAGGAGCGGAGCTCTGGCAGTAAAGAGCCCAGGGGGCGGGCACATGCAACAAGCCCCGCCCCCTGCTCCCAGCAGCCCCGGGCCATAAGGAGCAAGAAGCAGCCAGGTAAGTTGCAGAGCCCCCCCCCCCCCCGCCCAGATAGCAATCCAAAACAGTCCAGTGGCACCTTTAAGGCCAAGGTTTATTCAGGTACAAGCTCTCCCTCCTCTGTGAGGGCAGATCTGCAAGTTCCCCCCCCCAATAGCTAGCAATCCAAAACAGTCCAGTGGAGCCTGAGCGGTGGGGGTTGCCTTCTGACACACTTCCGGTGATGTCAGGGGGCATGGCATATGCAAATAAGTTATCCTAATGAGTTATGCTAATGAGCTCCTGCACCTCTTTTTTTTTACAAAATGACCCCTGTGTGCGCTGTATTAAATTCAGGGGGATATGCATATGGATGCGCATTTGTAGGCATGTCCCTATTCTGCCCCAGTAGCCCTCCTTACCTTTACTCTGCTAGAGCTTGGTCTGGGGACACTGCAGATTTTTCTGCAAACGTGTCCAGTTGTCGAACTTGCCAAGTTCGAGGCGACGATCCCTAGTGAACTAATCGCTCAGTCTGTTCAGATTGTACTGAGCGGCCACAAACACCTGCCGAGCTGATCTGCACCAGGTTCTCCCCAAACTGGGAACATCTGAAATGATGGAATGCTAAATTGGGATGAACCCTGACCTGGATGGGCCAGGCTGGTCCGATCTCATCAGATCTCAGATGCCGAGCAGGGTTGGCCTTAGTCAGTGTTTGGATGGGAGACCACCAAGGAATGCCAGAGTTGTGATGTGGAGGCAGGCAGTTTGGTGTAGCGGTTAAGTGCGCAGACTCTAATCTGGGAGAACCAGGGTTGATTCCTCACTCCTTCACTTGCAGCTGCTGGATGACCTTGGGCAAGCCGTAGCTCTGTCAGAGCTGTTCTCTCAAGGGCAGTTCTGGAAAGAGCTCTCTCAGCCCCACCTACCTCACAGGGGGTCTGTTGTGGGGAGGGGAGGGGAAAAGAGTTTGTTTTTTTTTTGGTAAACAAATTTTTTATTTTCTCAGGAATACAACATATAAAACTTTTCATTCTATCAATTGTCTACCCCATTCCCAGTTCCTCCCCTCCCTCCAATGGCTTCCCACAATGCTTCCACCCCTGCTCCAAATTACTTCATATCATCAACAATATCAGTTTCTCATCATTACAATCTAAAGATAACATCATTTGACTTAATATTGATCTAAACATATTAAGTTTTGTTTCACATCCCAGTTCTTTTCCAGATAAATTTTAAAGTCATTCCATTCTCCAAAAAACTCATCGTCTTCTTTGTTATTCAGTTTTTTTGTAATCTTATCCATTTGTGCCATGAACAGAACTTTTTGTATCCATTCTTCAACCTCTGGTACCTTTTCTGTCTTCCAAAACTGAGCATAAATCATTCTCGCTGTCACTATCAGGTACCAGAGTAAAGTTTTTTTAGTCGTATTGACTTCTTCCATTTTGAGTCCCAAAAGCAGAATTTCCGGTGCTTTTTTAAAAGAACATTTCAGTATTTTTTGCATTTCATTGTGGACTTTTGTCCAAAAGTCTACAGCTTTCTCACAAGTCCACCACATATGATAAAATGAGCCCTCATGCCTCTTACATTTCCAGCATTTGTTTGACATATTTTGATTCATATTTGCAATTTTCTTAGGTGTCATGTACCACCTAAGGGGGGAAAAGAGTTTGTAAGCCGCTCTGAGACGCTGAGTGAAGGGCGGGGTATAAATCCAATCTCCTCCTCCTCCTCTTCTTCTTCTTCTCTGAACATCTCTTTCTTTGTCGCCATAAGTCAGTGGTGACTGGATGGTGCACTTTCCACCACCAAATTGGGATGTGTGTTGACAGGGGTCGTTTCGTAGAAAAAGAGCTAGGGGGGACTCATTAGCATAACTCATTAGCATATGCCACATCCCCTGACATCACCAGAAGTGTGTCATAAGGCCACACCCCCTGACATCACCGGAAGTGTGTCATAAGGCCACACACCCTGCCCCCATGAGGGGCCCGGCGGTGGACCTGCAAGGCCGGCAGGAGTGCAAGGAAGCCCCGCGAAGGCCCTCCCTGGCCCTAGGCAGGCAGGGGTGGGGAGAGGCAGGGAGGAAGCAACTTACCCTCCCTCTTCTCCTGCCTCCTCCTGGCTGAATGAGGGCCGGAAGCGGGGCGGCCGGAAGCAGGGGGCGGGGCTTCGTCATGTGCCCCCCCATACCTCATCCGGGGGAACTGCGATCCCCCGCGATCCCCCCTGAAATGACCTCTGCGAATGCCAAGACTCCTGAGGTTTGGGGCAGTGAGAGATGAACTCTCACTCAGAAATGTAGGTTCTAGAGGCTCTCGGGATTCCTGGCCTTATTTCCGTTTGCAAAACACCATTTCTAGGAACTAACTGATTTGTAAATGGGGGCAGTTTGAAATACCAAAAAGATGTGTTATAAACAGTGCAATTTGGAAAAACCTTCCTGAGAGTAAGCCTCGCTTGAATAGACCTGAGTGGGATTCTGAACAGAGCTACTGTTCTCTAAGAATAGGGAAATGTCTTTCTTGCTTAAATGTCCTAAATACATTATGGCTTTGTTAAGCAAGGAGAAAAACATCCCCTAATGGGGAAGAGTTTCCACATAGCATAAAAATAAAGAACATAAGAAGTGCCCTGCTGGATCAGACCAATTATCCATCTAGTCCAGCATCCTGTCTCACACAGTGGTCAACCAGTTCTTCTGGAGGTCCAGCAACAGGGCATAGAGGCCAAGGCCTTCATAAGAACACAAGAAGAGTGCTGCTGGATCAGACCAGTGGTCCATCTAGTCCAGCATCCTGTCTCACACAGGGGCCAACCAGTTCCTCTGGAGGGCCAACAACAGGGCATAGAAACTGAGACTGTAACCTGATGTGGCCTCCTGGCTCTGGGATTCAGAGGCTTAGTGCTTCTGAATGTGGAGGTTCCCTATAGTCACAAAGGCTAGTGGCCACTGATAGACATCCTCCAAAGCTGACTTTCCAAACAACAGCTTCACCCCGGCACTGTCCTTTTACTTTCATTTAAAAGGAACAGATACTCGGCAGAGCTCCAAAGTCCAGTAAGACCAGATCAAAAAGGAATTCCTCTAAACACCACCTTTTGGCATCTAGACAAGAACTAAACACAACTGTTATTTCAGCATCTTCAGTCCCCCTTCGGACATGTGCTCCTGCCCCATATTACTCCAGAAATGATTTTGTATTCAAAGATTGTCATTACTGGAGAGGGGACGAGAGAGCTAAGAAGGTTTTTGAGAAGATTCCAGAGATGTGACTCTGCTGAGAACAGTAGGCCGCCCATCAGCTTGCCTCCCTTCCTCCCTTCCTTCCATCCACCCCTGTCTGTCATTCTGAACATCAGCTAAGACAGCTGTGAATCGGTGGATCCGTTTTAGAATCATCTTCCTCAATGTATGCCAAATAAAAACAGAAGCAACATTATTCATTTTCATTGGGGGAGGGTTGAACAGAAATCTATTTCTTTCCTGCACATCCAACATTCCTCTATTGTGTGCCAGGCACCAAGGGGGCTACCGGCACCATCCCCCTGACCATACAGCTAATAAGCGGCTGACTTAGGTCCTTTCCGCACTTGGATCTCATCCCTGGTTTTATCACCGTTCAACTCGGGACACAATACCTTGCATTTATCCCTGGTTATAACAGCATCCGTTTATCCCGGGACAAGTGTGGGGTGAAACCAGAATGATCTCAGTTTAATGTGGAAACAAAAAAATACCCCAAGATAATTACAGGGGTGAACTCGCATGTAGTGTAGAATGTAAGTTCAAGGACAGGGTTGAACCAGGATTTAAGAACATAAGAGACGCCAATGTTGGATCAGGCCGAAGGCCCATCCAGTCCAACACTCTGTGTCACACAGTGGCCAGAAATACCAGGGGCCATCAGGAGATCCAGCAGTGGGGCCAGGACATTAGAAGCCCTCCCACTGTTGACCCCCCCAGGCACCAAGAAGACAGAGCATCCCTTGCCCCAGAGTCCCTATCTATACCTTGTGGCTCATAGCCACTGATGGACCTCTGCTCCATATGCTTATCTAATTCCCTTTTGAAGCTGTCCATGCTTGTAGCCGCCGCCACCTCCTGTGGCAGTGAATTCCAAGTGTTAATCACTCTTTGGGTGAAGAAGTACTTCCTTTTATCCTTTCTAACCCGACCGCTCAGCAATTTCATGGAGTGCCCATGAGCTCTTGTATTGTGAGAAAGGGAGAAAAGTACCTCTTTCTCTAGTGCAGAAAGGACCTTAGGCAAGCTGCATCAATAGATGCCTCAAGGTGCTTGCCGAGTTTTCTGACTGTGGTCTCTTTAATTGCAGTAATGAATTTAGCAAGCTGGTAGCAGAAGAGTATCTCCGTTTCTTTGACTTCACTGGGTTGTCCTTGGACAAAGCACTCAGGTGAGTGGGAAAGGCAGGGGTCTCCAGCACATCAGTTTGGCGTCGTGGTTTGGAGTGCGGACTCTAATCCGGGAGAACCAGGCTCAATTCCCCACTCCTCCACATGCAGCTGCTGGCGTGACCTTGGGTCAGTCACAAGTTCTCTCACAGCTGTTCTCTCAACTCCTACCAACTTTATGGAAAAATGGTTCCTATTCCTGGACCATGTTATGACAGATGACTGCCAACCACATAATCCAACATATCTAAACATACTTCGCTCTTAACACATATTAGGGGCCCCTGCTGGCATCCTGCAACCAGCTCACAAAAAGTTTAATGTCTAGTTGTGAACACGCCAACCGCCAGTGTAAATCTACACCTATGCTTCTCTACCACAGTTTATCTCAACCAACAATTTCACACAAGGCAATTTTACGTCTGGGTCTACCTTATGTAATGTATCTTACCTTCATATGATAATTTGTTTGCACTGATTCATTGAATGTATCATTCCTTTTGTATTACTTATTTTTGATGTATGCAGCTGCACTAGACCGGGAAACCCTTTTGGGGATAGGGAACATGGAGGGGGGCTGTGATGTCACGTGTGCTATTAGATCACTTCCAGTGAAAATCTGGAAGTGACATAAGGTCACACTGGGAATCACTGTTTTTTGAGGATCACGAAACCGCGGGGGGAAATCGGGCGAAGCCGCAGGTCAAAATGCGGCCGTGTGGCTTCGAGTGGGAAATTGACCAATAGAAGCAGGGCAAAGGGAGGCCCGACCGCGGCACAGCTCTTGTGTGAAATCGGTCAGGGTGTCTGTTGTGGGGAAGGGAAGGGAAAGGAGGTTGTAAGCCACTCTGAGACTTCAAGTGAAAGGCAGGGTATAAATCCAATCTCTTCCCTCTCTCCCTTCATCAGAGGCAAGGCCCTTTGTTTTCAATCTCTGCTTCAAGCATCTTGCAGCTATCGCTCACTTTCAGTCTGTGTGCTTGTCCCATCTAAGTCTTGGATTCCATTATAATCCTTCCTTTATTTATGTGTGCCTTATTTCACATCCCCTTTAATGCACCTAATAACAAGACAGCCTCTTGTTTGGCCTGCAGGCTCTTGAGAGCCGTGGGGGGGGGGGCAAAGGTTTTCCCCATTGAGAAGAACACACCCCAATGAGGTGACAGACAGAGAGGCAGGTTCACTACCAGCATTTCACTACAGTGATAAAGGCCAGTAGGGTTGCCAGACTCCAGGTAGGGCCTGGAGATCTCTCACTAGCAGGGGTCATTTCTTGCGGGAGCGCACAAGAGCGGAGCTCCGGCAGTAAGGAGCCCAGGGGGTGTGGCACAAGCAGCAAGCCCTGCCCCCGGCTCCCAGCAGCCCTCAACAAGGCCACAAGGAGCAAGAAGCAACCAGGTAAGTTGCAGAGCCCCCCCCCCTTCAGGTACAAGCTCTCCCTCCTCTGTGAGGGCAGATCTGCACGTTCCCCCCCCCAATAGCTAGCAATCCAAAGCAGTCCCGTGGCACCGTTAAGACCAAGTTTTATTCAGGTCCAAGCTCTCCCTCCTCTGTGAGGGCAGATCTGCACGTTCCCCCCCCCAATAGCTAGCAATCCAAAGCAGTCCCGTGGCACCGTTAAGACCAAGTTTTATTCAGGTCCAAGCTCTCCCTCCTCTGTGAGGGCAGATCTGCACGTTCCCCCCCCCAATAGCTAGCAATCCAAAGCAGTCCCGTGGCACCGTTAAGACCAAGTTTTATTCAGGTCCAAGCTCTCCCTCCTCTGTGAGGGCAGATCTGCACGTTCCCCCCCCCAATAGCTAGCAATCCAAAGCAGTCCCGTGGCACCGTTAAGACCAAGTTTTATTCAGGTCCAAGCTCTCCCTCCTCTGTGAGGGCAGATCTGCACGTTCCCCCCCCCAATAGCTAGCAATCCAAAACAGGCCAGTGGAGCCTGAGCGGTGGGTGTTGCCTTCTGACACACTTCCGGTGATGTCAGGGGGTGTGGCATATGCAAATAAGTTATGCTAATGAGGTCCTGCACCTCTTTTCCTACGAAATGACCCCTGCTTACTAGTACAATTGATCTCCAGGCCAGATTGATCAGTTCCCCTGGAGAACATGGCTGCTTTGGAGGGTGGACTCTATGGCACTGTACCCTGCTGAGGCCCCTCCCTTCCTCAAATTCTGCCCTTCCCCAAACTCCACCCCTAAAATCTCCAGATATTTCCCCGCCCAGAGCTGGCAACCCTTATGAGGGGAGATGGGAAGGGATGGTGTTCTGTGTTCCTTTTCTTTCGTACCTGTAAGGCAGTTGCTTCCAGCGGTCGCTTTGGGGATACGCCCACCACCCGGTGTCAGAATTCCAAAGGCGCCGGCAGTATCAAGAAGGTTGGGGATCCCTGCTCTAAATAGTTAGTTCATAGCCGGACATCATCATTAAGATAATTAGAATCCCTCCTGGGACAGTTCTCTGAATTAAGTGCTACACTGTCTGTCTTAAAAGGTAAAAGTAAAGATTCCCTTGCTCGAAAGCCAGGCAAGTCCGACTCTAGGGTTGCGGTGCTCATCTCCGTTTCCAAGCCGAAGAGCCAGCACTGTCCAAAGACGTTCCCGTGGTCATGTGGCCGGCATGACTAAACACCAAGGCGCACGGAACGCTGTTACCTTCCCACCGAAGTGGTACCTATTTATCTACTTGCCATTTCTTGCTTTCGAACTTCTAGGTTGGCAGGAGCTGGAACTAGAGACGGGAGCTCACTCCGTCATGCAGCACACTCGGGTCTCGAACTGCTGAACTACCGACCTTTCACAGCCTGCAGTTCAGCGTCTTCACCACTTGAGCCGCCGCAGCTCTGTCTTAGCGAATCATATCTGAGAGCGAACCTCTTATAAATGTAGCTTTGCTTCACTGTCCTTTTTCTCTTTTCTAGAACATTCCTAAAAGCCTTCCCCCTCATGGGAGAGACACAGGAGCGGGAACGCGTCCTCATCCACTTCTCACGCAGATACTGTCACTGTAATCCGGAGGAGAGCACGTCTGAAGGTAATGCTCCCGTCCGTCTGCAGCTGAGCCCTTCTGCTTCAGAAATGACCGGACCTCAAGTTCAGTGGTGTAACAGGCCTAGAGGGGAAACACTGCATTAAACAAAACCAGTCTGGAAAACGTAGAGAAACTTCTCCAAGTGGCAAGTCATTCGAGGGGCTGGTGCTTCCCTGGTGTCAGGCTCTTTAGCAGGATCACAACACAGACAGATGCTTCTTGTAAAGATAAGTGTTTTATTGATAAGGTAAAGGAAAAGGTCTCCCTTGTTCGAAAGCCAGGCGAATCCGACTCTAGGGTTGCGGTGCTCATCTCCGTTTCAAAGCCGAAGAGCCAGCGCTGTCCAAAGACGTTTCCGTGGTCATGTGGCCGGCATGACTAAACACCAAGGCGCACGGAACGCTGTTCCCATCCCACCGAAGTGGTCCCTATTTATCTACTTGCAATTTCTTGCTTTCAAACTGCTAGGTTGGCAGGAGCTGGAACTAGAGACGGGAGCTCACTCCGTCATGCGGCACACCCGGGTCTCGAACTGCCGAACTACCGACCTTCCACAGCCTGCAGTTCTGCGTCTTCACCACTTGAGCCGCCGCAGCTCCATGTTTTATTGATAGTCCATGACTAAAGAACGAGTATACAGCTTGTGTCAGGAATGACCTGCAATTGGATGGTCAGTGACGTATAGTATAATCAAACTCCCCCCCCTCTCCCGGGAGCCAAAGCCAATGAGTAAAATTCGCCCACGCGGGCTGAAGCGGGCTGAAGCTGGCAAGCAGGCTGCATAGTGCCAAGCCGTTAGGTCCCCAGGCCAGTTACTTTGCAGCTGGGAAAACAACAAGGTCAAAGCAGGGAGACAACAGCCAGAGCCAGCCAGGGTAGCGCTGAGAACGAGCAGGAGAAGACGTACCCCTCCACATTCCAACTCCGTGACAGGGCTACCTGACACCTAGGCTGGTTACCTTCATAGAAGAGCGCACTAAAGGCAAACCTACAAGGAGATCACAGAGACTCCCACAGAAGTGCAGCTCTGTATATCCTTCCTCGGATCCCTAGAGAAAGAGATCCAGCCGATTCCCCCCCCGTCCCTCTAGAAAAAGCCCAGCAGAAACTCATTAGCATAATAGGCCACACCCAACAACAGGAACTCGTTAGCATATTGGGCCACACCCCTGACAGCACAGCTCATTAGCACATTAGGCCACACCCCCATGTTACCAGAAGTGTGCTCATCCAGCCACACCCACCTTTTGCTTGTTATTCTGTTTACCTTGTTTGTTGTCAAAACCCAGGGCTTTTTTTGTAGCAGGAACTCCTTTGCATGTTAGGCCACACACCCCTAATGTAGCCAATCCTAATGAGTTCCTGCTGTTGGGTGTGGCCTGTTATGCTAATGAGTTCCTGCTGGGCGTGGCCAACTCGGGAGCCAGCCGGAACTCCGTTCCTGTGCGTTCCTGCCCAAAAATAGCCCTGGCAGAGGTCACCTTGGAAAGGGCTGTTTTCTAACCCCTGGGGCTACTCTAGTTTGGGAAATTCCTGGACATTTGGGGGTGGAGCCTGAGGAGGGGGGATTTGAGGATGGGAGGGACCCCAGTGGGGTAGAACTGATCTCTGTAGTTTGGAGATTCGTTGTAATTCCTGGGAGATCAAGGCCCCACCTGGAGGATTGGCTACTCTACCCGGGGCCCATTGATTAGATACCTTCCTTATTAACAGTCTTAGGGAGTCTGACTTCCCTGCCGTTCCATGTCGGCCGAGGCTGCCGGACAGACCCATTTGCAGTAACCAGACTGCCCCACAATCACGCTGCTCCAGTGTTCCCTCTAAGCCGAGTTCGTGTGAGCTAGCTCACAGTTTTTTAGCCTCTGGCTCACACATTTTTGCCTTGGCTAAAGGAAGGAGGGCTCCAGAGCAAACTAATTTATGCACCAGCCCAATCGCTGGCTCACAACTTTAATGCCAGGAGCTCACAAAGGAGGATTTTTGCTCACAGAACTCCACAGCTTAGAGGGACCCTCCTCTCCCCAAAATATCCACTTTCCCAGCTAGGTATAACCGGGTCTCTCCTCTAAAACAGAGTAAACAGGTTAAGAATAAATTTTCAAAAAGCACAAGATGATGGTTAAGTTGGTGGTGCACTAGGAACTTTTTTGCCTCTGGGGAAAACAGAACAAAACAAAGCAAAAACCACGCCAGACCACACTACCCACGTTCCACATAAAGCAGCGAGGGAACTGAAAAAGCTTCTCTTTGTAAATTCTAGAAGGGATTGACTCTAGGATAGACCTGACTAGTGGAGAACCACACGGCAGAGCATGTTGTTCCTTAGAAGGAGGGAGAACCCAGTGCTCCTGTCTACTGACTGGCGCAGTTCAAGAGATTGCATTGAGGTTCAGGGCACGGTTTGGATAAGCAATGGGCTCTTTTTGTAGCAGGAACTCCTTTGCATCTTAGGCCACACACCCCTAATGTAGCCAATCCTCCAAGAGCTTACAGAGCTCTTCTGACAGGGGCTACTGTAAGCTCTGAGAGGATTGGCTATATTAGGGGTGTGTCGCCCAGGGCTCTTTTTGTAGCAGGAGCTCCTTTGCATATTAGGCAACACACACACACACACCCCGATGTAGCCAATCCTCCATGAGCTTACAGAGCTCTTCTGATGGGGGCTACTGTAAGCTCTTGGAGGATTGGCTACCGGCTGGGCTCTTTTTGTAGCAGGAGCTCCTTTGCATCTTAGGCGACACACCCCTAATGTAGCCAATCCTCCAAGAGCTTACAGTAGCCCCTGTAAGAAGAGCTCTGTAAGCTCTTGGAGGATTGGCTACATTAGGGGTGTGTCGCCTAAGATGCAGCGGAGTTCCTGCTACAAAAAGAGCCCTGCGGGAGAACAACAAGGCATGTCGTGGTTACCAGTTCGATCTGGCAAATCTATCCATCTTAATATGGCCAACCTCCAGGTGGGGCCTGGAGATCTCCCAGAATTACAACTGATCTCCAGTTGGCTGAGATCAGTTCCGCTGAAGAAAATGGCTGCTTTGGAGGGTGGACTCTGCGGCATTATGACCCACGGAGGTCCCTCCCCCCCTCCCCATGCCCCACTAGGGTTGTCAGGTTGGATCAACCCAGTGGTGGGGGAGGGACTTTCCAGGAGCGGGGGGAGCATGTGACGTGCATGCAACATAATGACATCACACGGAAGTGACGTGATCATGTCGCCGATGCCATGTGGCGATGCTCTGATATTTTGGGCAAAACTCTATGGTTGCCGTAGAGTTTTGCCCCAAAATACCAGTGTATCACCACGCAGCATGAACAACGCGATGACATCATTTATGCATGACATCATGATGTCATATTTGGGGGTGGGATTTACTTTCGCCGGCGGTGGGGAAAAGGCCCGAAAATTGGGGGATCCCCCGCCCCCAACTGGGGAATGGCAGGGGTCATTTCCTGCAGGAGCGCACAGAAGCGGAGCTCCGGCAGTAAGGAGCCTAGGGGGTGGGCACATGCAACAAGCCCCGCCCCTTGCTCTCAGCAGGCCTCAGGTCGGCCACGAGGAGAGAGAAGCAGCCAGGTAAGTTGCAGAGGGACCCGCCCCCGCCCGCATTCAGGTACAAGCTCTCCCTCCTCTGTGACGGCAGATCTGCACGTCCCCCCCCCCATAGCTAGCAATCCAAAACAGTCGAGTGGCACCTTTAAGACCAAGTTTTATTCAGGTCCAAGCTCTCCCTCTTCTGCGAGGACAGATCTGCACGTCCCCCCCCCCAATAGCTAGCAATCCAAAAGAATCCAGTGGAGCCTGAGCGGTGGGTGTTGCCTTCTGACACACTTCCAGTGATGTCAGGGGGTGTGGCATATGCAAATAAGTTATGCTAATGAGCTCCTGCACCTCTTTTTCTATGAAATGACCCCTGGGGAATGGTATCCCTATACTCCACCCCCAAATCTCCAGGATTATCTCAACCCAGAGCTGGCAACCCTAATCTGTCTCCATTTGCTGCACTTCCTGGGTTGGGCCGGCCTTCTTCCTTGTAGAAAAAAACCCCAGCAACAAGTCAAAGGGTGGGCAATTGTGATTGGGTTCAGGAACGGTTGGGATTGGCAAGATGTGCCGTAATCTTGGCAGTGCACGTTGATGCCTTGCTTTGGCTCTGGCTCCTGTGAGGAAGAACCCCACCGGTCTTGACCGTAGGACACAAAACTTTTCAGTGACCAGGATCCAAACTTGCAAAAAAATATCAAGCTTAGTAGCAGTGCAGAGATGAAAGAAAAAAGCACAAAAAGAATAATGCAATGGCAGGACGGGGGGGGGGGGGGGGATGCTGTATTTCCAACTCCCTCCCATTACTTGCCTCCAATGACTGAGCACATGTTGCGCATGACCCCACATGCCTCCTTAACATGCCGTGCAAGCGTTCCACAAGCAGAGAGTAGTAGAGAAATCAGGCCACAGAAGAGCCTGCAGCGCTCAGCCCTCATTCCCCGGCTCTCTTCTTTGGCTTCCAGTCTGCCCGGCAGAAACTGAGCAATCAAGCAGCCTCACAACATCCCAAAGAGAAGGGGCGCTTAGCAACACACCGCCATCACCGTGGGCTTCCTTAGTGCTCGGTGGAATGGAACGACACAAATGGTTTTGAGGGTTTTTTTTGGCAGGACAATCTATGCCAGTGTTTCCCAGTATGTGGGTCGGGACCCAAAAATGGTTTGCAAAGCCTCTGAAAGTGGGTCGCGGGCCAGCCCTCCCCAACAGCTCTGGGGGGGCTGTTTTTTGAGGTAGAGGTGCCACATTTTCAGCATGACTGATGATGCCTCTCCTCAAAATACCCCCATTTTCCTCCAGGTGAACTGATCTCTTAGTCGCCTGGAGATCCCAGGAGACCTCCAGTTGCCACCTGGAGGTTGGCAAAAACAGTCCTAGCCTGCAGTCTTCCCTCCCTCCCTGTCCAGAGGAGGAAGTATAAAAATGCTGACCTCTCCTGAAGTGTGCTTTATCAAACTAAGGCCCCGGTCACACGGGCCAGATCGCGCGGGGGGGGGGGAGGCGTGGCTGTTTGCCCCGGAGCAAAATAAAGCACGGTAGCCCGATCAGACGGTCCCCCGAGTCTTCACGCTTAGGCTATTAGCTGGTGATCACACGGCGATGCTGGAGCGTGGCAAAGAAGCGGTGTGGCAAGTGTTTTGCGTTTGTGCACATGCGCAGTTCCGAGGAGCAGCACTGCTTTCAGTTACGTGTTTGTGCACATGCGCTTACAAAACACATCCGGTTTGTGACGGGACCTGGACGGGCGCCAGATGTCACGGGATACTAGCGCTCCCACGATCAGATGCCCCCCCTGCCCCGCGTTTTCTGGATACTAGTGCACTTTCCGAGGTACTTTTTTACTGCTCATCTTTGGCGGGATGCCATGGGTTGGCCACGGGTGCACTACGCTTCCCAGATGTTGCAGTGTGATCGCGCCCCAAAAATCTGCCTGACATTCGTGCCTTTTAGTGCGGCAAATCCTCCGTGTGAATGGGGCCTAAGTTTCATCATTCAACAAACACTGTGGGGGAAACAACCACATGGTTGTTGCGCGGTGCGCGTAGGACACCCTGTGAGCCAGTAGAAAGTATCAGCCAGCCACCAGGACTGTTTCAGCCACTCCAACTCACCAGCCACTCTTCAGCACTCAACTGCAACTCCAGCTCTGTATAGCACCACACAAGACAGTCCTGTGGTAAACTATATACAGATTTTATTTACAATATGTACAGTCCTCGGACAAAATGCTCCGCCAGTAACCACCATAAAGAGAAGAGGTACACAGGGCAGCACTTGTCCACATATATACATTATGACAACTAGACACCCCTTGACATCACCGGAAGTGTGTCATAAGGCCACACACCCCGCCCCCAACGGTCCTGGCCGCTGCCGCCAGCCTTGCAGCTCCACTGCTGAGCCCCATGAGGGGCCCGGCGGTGGACCTGCAAGGCCGGCGGGAGTGCAAGGAAGTCCCGCGAAGGCCCTCCCTGGCCCCAGGCAGGCGGGGTGGGGAGAGGGAGGGAGGAAGCAACTTACCCTCCCTCTTCTCCTGCCTCCTCCTGGCTGAATGAGGGCCGGAAGAAGGGGGCGGGGCTTCGTCATGTGCCCCGCCCCCCGTACCTCACCCGGGGGAACTGCGATCCCCCGCGATCCCCACCGAAATGACCTCTGATGGCAACCAATCAGCTTAGAGCTGAGTCATTGTCACTGACCTCACACCATAATCAGGACTCAACCGGTCAGGACCAGTTTCCAGCAGCTTCCCTGCTGACAGTTAGATCACTATGGTCTGACAGCTGGATATTAACATCCGACAATGGTTTGGACTGGAGGAATATTATGCGAATACTGTAACCAGAATCAGCCCCAAATAATCAGCTCTATTGGCACACTCCTTGAGTTCCGGTCTCATCTCCTTGAATGCCCTCTTGCCTCTTGAGCTAAGTGGGAAAAGGGCCCCACGCTATTTTGTATATGATTTATGATATTATTCATCCCAAAAGCAGGTTACGTTTCTTGTCTCTTCCAGATGGGATCCATACCCTTACCTGTGCCCTGATGCTGCTCAATACAGACCTGCACGGACATGTAAGTATGCAGGGCTATTTTGGGGCAGAAACGCACAGGAACGGAGTTCCGACTGGCTCCCGAGTTGGCCACGCCCAGCAGGAACGCATTAGCATAATAGGCCACACCCAACAGCAGGAACTCATTAGGATTGGCTACATAAGGGATGCGTGGCCTAACATGGCCTAACATGCAAAGGAGTTCCTGCTACAAAAAAAGGCCCTGGGTTTTGACAACAAACAAGGTAAACAGAATAAGAAGCAAAAGGTGGGTGTGGCTGGATGGCCACACTTCTGGTAACATGGGGGTGTGGCCTAATGTGCTAATGAGCTGTGCTGTCAGGGGTGTGGCCCAATATGCTAATGAGTTCCTGCTGTTGGGTGTGGCCTATTATGCTAATGAGTTCCTGCTGGGCTTTTTCTACAAAAAAAAGCCCTGTAAGTACGGCTCTCGGAAAAGCGGAGGCTCTCCCCCGGCCCTTCGGGTCGATCGCTGCAGTCGGGGAAGCTAGAGTGGGCTGGGAATCCATGTCACGGCAGGAGCGAGCTGAGGCAGGCGGTTAGCTGTACACAGCCGAAGTCTCCCAGTGTGATGTTTTGGTGATGTGTAGGCAGCGGACGTTCGTCACGCTCAACAGTGGTGAACGCTTCTCCTGCCTACACAGGGTCGATCCGTTGGCTTGTCATTATAGAACGGCATAAAACAAGACTTCGCGTGGGGGCATACGAGATACAGAGGGTGAAACTAGGTGAAACAATATTCTGGAGATGTGGCACTTGGAGTAATGGACAGCTGGGGTTGCCAAAGGCAGGCGAATTTTTTTAAAAAACACCCAAAAACCTGGCATTGTGCCTGGTGAAGTGTCACTTCTGGGAAGACCTGGAAGCGACATCATGTCCCCTGAGGAATCCTTGATAAAACTGCACATGGGGCTGGTGCCCCCTCCTGCCCCACCCCTAGCCAGCCCTGATCTCTGCTTGCTGTAGGTCAACGGCTTTGAAATGTTAGCAACCCGAGGACCCCGTTTCAGCTTTAAAGGACGTCGTCCTCCACCCCAGCCCTCTTCTCATCCCTCACTGTCGCGCACCACTTGCGGGGACAGCACTCTTTCAAAGTGCGCAGACGAGCGGTGCGTGCCCCACAGAGGCCTCCATCTTCCAATACAGTGTGCGTCATATCAGCTACATATTAAAAGCAAGTTTGTGGCCCCGGTCACACGGGAGGTTTTGGGCCGGAAGAGGGACGGATCGGGGGCGCAGCAAACAGGCGCGAGCACACTGCGACATCTGGGAATCGGCGTGCACCCGTCCCCGATCCGTCCCTTTCGGCCTAAAACCCGCTGCAAAAAAAAAAACCAAGTAAAAGGTAGCACCAACCTGGAACGGCACAGCAAGTGCGGCCGTGAGATCGCTGGCGCGCCCGTCTGCAGGAGCAATCGAGGCTCCCGGGCGAACTGCGCACGCGCACACATGCACTGTTCGGCTGCCTCGCTCTCCCTGCAGTGGCTTCCCCCCGGCATCTGATCGTGCCGGGGAGCAACTGCGCGGCAGCTCAGGGGATCTATCTGATCCCGCCGCCGCGTGTCTCTTTTGGTGCAGCTTTAAAATGCCGCACTTCGGCCATTCTTTTTTCCCCCCAAGTGGCAGGGGCCTGTGTAACATCCTCGTATTGTCTGTAAATACATACGAGGTCAGTTCTCTGAGGCTGGCCAGGCGCAACAGGCCATGGCCCGAGTTCTAAACAAGCTCAGATTCCATTATCGGTTAGTAACATCCAGATAGAGGCCCAGTGAACAGGAGCAGAGCGTAGGGTTACCAACCTCCAGGTGGGGCCTGGAGATCTCCTGGAACTACAACTGACCTCCAGACTACAGAGATCCATCCCCCTGGAGAAAACGGGCTGCTTTGCGGGGTGGACTCTGTGGCATTACATCCCTGCTGAGGTCCCTCTCTGCCCCAAACACTGCCCCCCAAGGCTCTACCCCAAAATCTCCAAGAAGGGGGCCTGGAAAAGCTCATAGCTGCTCAAAGAACTTAAAAAAAAAAGCAACCCTAAACTGACATTGGCTATTACCGTTCATGAACGCAAAGCGGATCTCTTTGTTTCTATGCCAAAATCCTTTGAAATGGAAAACGGTGAAAACTAGCAAAGTGTGATCCAGGAAGTGACTGTAGATGACTACAGCAAAGCACAAAAACAACCTCAAAAAGCCCTCTGGATACGTTGGGGAAAACGGGTGGCCACAATTCTGCTTTACTGCGCTAGTAGGAAGGCAGTGAAGCAAACCTGCCGAAAAGCGCAAACCAGTCAAGGAGCAGCAGATGGAGCCCATTGAAAAACAGCTCCCCGTTCACCACTGGCGAGCAGGTTACAAGCCAGAGCTGTGGGAGTTCAAGGACCCCTCGCTTCTGCAGCTCGCTTGACAGAGGCCATCTCATTCAGACCCTCTCCCACCAGGGTTCCTGTCCCTCATGGGGAGAAAAGTGTCCGTGTGGCAACAAGTAAGAGCCTGTTTTGAATCCCACTAAAGGGGGTTCTGTTGACATGAATGCTAAGCCCACCTTTTGACTAATTACAACCTGATCCGCAGCAGAACCAGGGGTCATTTCCTGCAGGAGCGCACAGGAGGGGAGCTCCGGCAGTAAAGAGCCCAGGGGGTGGGCACATGTAACAAGCCCCACCCCCGGCTCCCAGCAGCCCTCAGTCAGAGCAAGAAGCAGCCAGGTAAGTTGCAGAGCCCCCTGAATAGCAATCCAAAACAGTCCAGTGGCACCTTTAAGGCCACGTTTTATTCAGGTACAAGCTCTCCCTCCTCTGTGAGGGCAGATCTGCATGCCCCCCCCCCAATAGCTGGTAATCCAAAACAGTCCAGTGGAGCCTGAGCGGTGGGTGTTGCCTTCTGACACACTTTCGGGTGATGTCAGGGGGTGTGGCATATGCAAATAAGTTATGCTAATGAGTTATGCTAATGAGCTCCTGCACTTCTTTTTCTACGAAATGACCCCTGAGCAAAACAGAAAGAAGAGGCCAGGCTAGAACCCGCGCCTCATGTGCTCGGACACAGTCCCCCAATAGAGATGCCAGCCTCCAGCTGGGACCTGGTGATCCCCTGGAATTACAGCTCATCTCCGGACTGCAGAGATCAGTTTCCCTGGAGAAGATAGATCCTTTGGAGGGGGAATTCTGTGGCACCGAACTCCACTGAGGTCCTTGCCCCAGACGCCATCCCCAGATCTCCGGGAGTTTCCCAACCTGGATCTGGCAAACCTCCCCCCCCCCCATCCCCTGCCAGTGGCCGGGAGGACTTGGCAACCCTGTGCCCCAACCACACACCCGACTGGGCAGGCAGCTGAAAGGCAAAGCACAGAACGTCACTCTCAAAGCCAGGCGTATAGACCAGGGCAGGTAGGACTGCAGAGAAGGGCACAGAGAGATGCCCAGGTACGCCATGGGGAATGCCCAGGTATGGCACAGGAAATGCCCGGGTATGCCAAGCGATGCCCGGAAATACTCCAGGGCCCAGTTAAGGTTGTGCACCATCAAGCACAATCCCTTGGGATGGGTACTCATGCAGCGGTGGTCTTAGCAATTCTGATGCCCTGGGCAAAAGTCCAGGATGAGGCCCCAGAATCACTGCCACCCCGCTGCTGGCTCCCTGCCAGGGCCAAGCCCTGTGTGAGGTGGGCAGGAGACACTGCTGCAGCCGAAAGCCAAATGCCCAAGCCCCAGAGGGTAGCACAAAAGGTAAGCTACACAGTACTGAGATCGGTAAACAAAAAGAACCGTGTACCAACACTGTATATGAAATCCAAATCTTCTTCTTATTTGAACGTGATCCACTTCAGAGGACCGTGTCCCAGCTGAAATGGTAACAGGGTATCCACCTGGAACAAAATTTAATCAGATCTGTTCTTTGAGAAAGCATATGAGAAACGTGTTTGGAGTGAGCTAGCACTCACGTCAGAGAAAGAAGGAAGATCCGTATGCCAGTGTTCCCTCTAAACTGAGTTAGTGTGAGCTAGCTCACAGGGGTTTTTTATATATATAATTTTTTTATATTTTTTTCTAAACAATTTATGCCATACTGTTGCCAATAAAAGAAATACATAAACATGGCGGTACATTTTAATAACTTATGAAGACTAAATCGTAGTTAGTGTGATATTTGAACAAAGAGATCTTCCATACTACCCATGGTCATAAGTCTTCAGAATTAGAGGAGTAAGGATTGCAAAAATTGTTTTTTTCCCAACAGGCTTTTATAATAATGTTTCACATCAGTAACCATTTATGATATTGTGGGTTTGCCGGAAGTATATCATGTGTGGTGAGATACGAGAATATCGGAAACCAGATGGATTCAAATTTGAGATTGGAAGACTGAGATGATTTGCCGTCACAAATTGTTCCCACACTTTCCCACAGTTTTTTAGCCTCCGGGTCACACATTTTTGTCTCAGCTCAGGAAGGATGGCTCCAGAGCAAACTAATTTATGCAGTAGCCAAATCGCTGGCTCACAGCTTTAACGCCAGTAGCTCATAGAGTAGAATATTTGCTCACAAGTCTCCACGGCTTAGAGGGAGTCTTGCTCTATGGTGAAAAAAAATTTTTTTTGTGGACTTAACTTATTTATTTATTGGACACCTTAAGGAGTTGTTCCCAATAGTGTGACTTGAAACTACTATACTCAGAGTCCTGTACATCCTTTGGATGTATTTAACTGTATGGTACAGCCCTTACGTGCATACAGGATACAGTATTACAGCGAGCATTCATTTGCTTAAATAATAAGAATATTTGGATTTTATATACAGTGTGGGCTACACAGTCCTTTTTGTTCGCTGATTAGCAAGCCCTAGATGGGGCCAGCGCAAGTGGCGGTAGGAGCCGGCTGTTCTTCTTCCCCCCATCCTTGGAGGGGGTGGGGCTGTGGGCAGTTGGCCCCCGAAGTGTGAGGCCCAGGGCAGCGTCTCCATTGCCCATAGGCTAAGACTGCCCCTGTTCCCATACCCCAATCATT